TTGTGTTAGAAGAAACAAACCTATATTTATAGAGTCCTAAAACCTTTCCTACTAGAAAAGGAGTCCTAAAAGGAGAGAATAAACCAAATATAAAATAATATTATATTTTCCTTTCAAGTAAAGTAAAAACATTTATGGTAATGTTTTGTTTTTTCTTTAAGGAAAAATAAATCTTAAATTATGGTAAGAAAATCAGGGCAAAACCCTAACACATAACACTTTTAGTCCCTTGATTATTGATAAATTCTAATTTAGATCCTCTTAAAATTTGATAAATCACGTTTTGACCTTCAATTATGTGAAATGTATGTATTTAGTCCCTTTGGGTAGGAAACATGTTACATTTGGACGATATTTAAAACATATTACCATCAAATATGAAGTAACAATATAAGCATAACATAAAACAGAGACAACTAAATGGACAAATAATAATAATCACGAAGAAGTGGATAAAAAATATACATTTCAATTAATTGACAGTTAAATGTGCTTAGTCAGATATCGGACTAAAATTAAAATTTAACAATAACTAAATAAGTGCTTTGCCTTTTCCTTTTTGGCTTCAAAGTATTCATAAGAATGCCTTTCACTCATGAATAAATTAACTAATCTTTATAACTTTCCTTCTTCTTTCCTTTGCTTTTTTCCCATGAAAAACTCATGCTTTAAAGCTAAAAAAAAAACAATTTAAACTCACAATTTTGCAACTATTTAAACATCAAGTTTCACTAGATAAGAATACCATCAACATTTAACTTAACTCTTCAACCTCCATAGAAGCGCGAAAAACGCGAAAAATAAGTTTCAAATGGATCATCATAATCATCACCATGAAAATTCATCAAAACATATGAAGGGGTTGCAAAAAGATGGTGGAAATAGAGAGAAAATCGCGTCGACGAGGCACAAGTTCTTGGTGGAGGATGTGAACAAGTTGGCTGATGATTTTATCAAGAATTTCAGAAAACAACTTAAGTTTGAAAGAGAAAAATCATTCAAGCAATTTCAAGAAATGCTTAATAGGGGGACTTAAGATATATATGATTCTTTGTTAAGTTCTTATTTGTTTCCATAAATGTTGTGTTTTTTGCTTTTCTTGAGCTGAGGGTCTATCGAAAACAGTCTTTCCACCTGTCAGAGTCTGCATTTACTCTACCCTCCTCACACCATATTTGTGGAACTATACTGAATATGTTGTTTGTTGTTGCTTAGTTCTTTCTTGTGTTTCTTGGAATTGTAATGTTCTCAAGTGATAATATATAATATATTTGTTTTGTCATTCTTGTGATTTTGAAAATGAAGTTGCCAAATGTGTTAATAAATGTGTATTTAATGTATAGACTCTTAAAATGTGTTGTGATGTGATTGTGGGAGTTAGATGCTGGTCATCAATTTAAACCTACAATTTAGACAAAAGTCTAATATAAAAGTGTAGAAGGGTTGAGGAACGAGATTCTTATTGACCAAGTTTAGAACCGTTCACAAGCTTGCCCTCGAGGATTTCTCGGTTATCAAAAATAATATAATTTAATAATAATAGTCAAAGACCAGAAAACTCTTATTGGTCCAAGAAGCTCACAAGCAGGATAAACACACTTGTTCAAGGAATCACTTGTATTTTGACAAAGCTCCTCACTTGGTAGCAATGTACTTTGCAAATGTCAAAACATTTCGGGGTCGTTTGGTAGAGTGTATAAGAATAGTGTTGAATATGATGTTTTAATAATATTGGTATTAGTTATGCCAATATTGTTTCTTATGCATTATTTGATTGGTGTATTAAAAATAACATGCATTGCATAATTTCGATAATAATAAAAAAAACAATATTTGTTAACAAAAATATCCTCCATAAATACGGTGAAAATGATATGGAAAATGATTTAAGGGGAAACATGCTAATGCAAATATTAAAAACCAAACAATATATTAGTAATACACAAAGCTAATGCATGCATTAGCCCTATTTTTTTTTTTCTAATGCATCCTACCAAACGATCCCCTAGCATCTATGTTGTTCGGTCTCTCCAAAATGTTATCGCATTCATGTTGGATCCTCCAAAATTGCCTCCAAAATGCACTATTTTTTAAGGATCCAACATGCACTGATCAACATTTTTCAAGAGTTAGAGCAACTTAGTTTAGCAGCATCAACAACAATAACAGCTATGCCTCAAATCCCAAACAAGTTAGGGTCGGCCATATCAATCCTCAATAACCATATTTCCCCATTTAAGCTCAGCTCATGTCATCATCATAATACCAAAACATTTAGCATCACATCTTCAATAAAAAAACTTTAGAATTACATTTAACCAAATGTCATCTAAAACATTACAACAAACAGGAAATTCGACGAATTCTAATGCGAAAAACGCAACATGTAACTCTTTCAAGATTTTACATTAACCTTTGCAAGCATGAATACAAACTCAGGCATGTCATGCAAAATCTTGAAAATGTCACATCACTGAACCTATCAATACCTGTTTCTACAATACCTTTCGTCGTAAAGCACAAGCTTTAGGACATGACACAGAAACTACGTTCTAACCGATCATAAGCGACATATTCAACAGCAGGGGCAGCAAGATCATAATGCTGGCTAGCAATGCCACTCCTATTCCAATTATGTTGTGTACAAATCTTGAAAAGAAGGCAGAGAGAAGAAGCTAAGAAGCAGAGATTCCGGCTATATATCGTTCAAGTTCAATGACCAACCTATGTTCAAAATATGGTATTCTAAGACGGGAAACTATCGGTGCAAAACTACAGGCCAAAAGGATACACAAAATATAGAGCTATCTGATCTTTTCATGCAAAGAAACAACCTCATTTTTTACTTCCAAACTCTGCGTTTGAACAGACGTTTGCGATGTATTAATGGCAAAAGTATGAAAATACCAGAGAAATCCATGCACGAGCTGTTGGCGGTGAAATCCCACCTCTTCAACGCCATTATGGACAATCAAAACACTTCCACTTGACAGGCACAAATATTACCAGGTTGAGCATTATCTGCAGAGGCTGCAGAAGGTCATTTCGAAGTGAAAATGAATGATGCAACAATTTGGTTCACAAACGGAATGAGACCATGTTGAGGATGTCAAAACTGCTTTAATGGAAAAGATTTTGTTCTTGAGATTGAAGAGGCTGAACCTATTCCTAGTTCTCGTCAAGAAGGACGACTAGACATTACTTACAATCCTCAGGCTTGTAGAACCTGACAATGCACAATATGGCTCTTCAACCCTCCTCGTCCTGCGATGCTTGACCATAAATTAGTAAATAGAGTTCTGAAGTGACCTTTACCAGCAATGTTCTCCCAAAGATGTGGGTTAGTTTCCACTTGTTTATCAGGGCTTGATACATCAACCATACTAATGCTCATGTTGTTACGAATTATACAGAGTTTACCATTAAGAGGAACCAGAGCTGCAGCCTCTAAAGCACGAGAACTTCCAAGATGGAGTTTGCTGTCAATGAATCTATTCCACGAATCTGAGGCTCCATCATATACTCTAAGTTTACACCCATCACGACAGTCCAAAGCATAAAGGCAACCGTTCATGGAAATGCTTGGGTTGCGCCAACCAGCAACCATCCCGTCAGTGACAGGGCTCCATCCATTGGTTTCCGGGTTATAGGCTTCACTTAGAACTTCTCTGTGGGATCCCAGCCCTTTCAAAAACCATTTCCCGTCATAAATAACCCCAATAAAGGGCACCATAGCTGTGCTCATATCAGTAATAAAGGTCCAGCGGTTCCTATTGGGGTCATAAACCTCAGCTGAGCGGAGAGTCCTTTGGATTCCTTCACATTCTCCACCAGCAACATAAAGACAATTGTTGATTACACAAGAACCAAAGAAATGACGTTTACGAAGCATGTCTGGTGCCCTGTGCCATTTATTTGTACGAGCACTATAAAAGATTACCCGTCGCATAGACCCCTTGATTGGATCTTTTCCTCCAAACAAGTAGAGATGGCAACCACTAAGAACAGCACAACCAAATCCAAGGGCTTCACTATATTCCCCAGGAAGAGGTGGAAGTGGCTGCCATAGTTGGTATGTTGGATCAAATGCATGCCATGAAATCCTTCCGTCACGATCTCTCTTTATCACGTATACCCACTCCTCCGCCATTCCAAGACTCTTCCTGAGAGAGTAAAAGAAATTTCCAGCAAGAAGCCGATACCACCTTTTGCAGACTAAACGGAGCTTGTTGTGTTCAACACGAGGAACACGTATTAGACAAGCAATTGCAAGATCATCTGGTAGACCAGGCAGAAGAGGTGACTGCACTCTTGACCTCTCCCTACGGGAGTTTTTAGTCTTGTGTGCGTGAGGATTAATGTCCGGCTGGATGCAAATTTTTGATCCTGCGACAAACTTTCTTGCCCCTACAACTGTCTTAAACCCTGAGTCAACCTTGCAATAGCATGATACGGAATCAACCTGCAAATGTTTACCAATTAGAAAATGCAGGTGTATTCTAGCAGCTGATAAGAATAGCAGCGGGGAATGCCTTTAAGTTAACAAATACACTAGCAGAAAAACTGATATAAAAACAAATCATCATTCACTATTTAAGCTAAAATTGAGAAAAAGAGAGCTGATGATATGCATGACTGTGAGTTTGAGAAAGGATAATGCCTGGACAAGGAATAAACACAGTAGTCTAAATTATGTGGTCCGAACCAAAGCAGCTTTTATTAGCTAAGAGCTCACAAATTATCCCTACCAGAAAATATATCACCCACTTTAATGATCATTTTACTATAAGGGGTCGTTTGGTATAGTTTATAATGCATGCATTAGCTTTTTGTATTATTAGTACCTTGTTTGATACACTTTTTCAACACATGTATTAAGTAATGTTTGCATTAGTAATACACTCTATTTGGTATTAAGGTATGTATAACTAATACATGAAATTCCATGATATTAGTAATGCAAAGGGTTTAATGCATGCATTTACATGATTAGAGACACAATTGCCCCTCAAAACATTTTACACAGCTACTACACCATATTTGTGGAGGGTATTTTGTAAGCAATTTCCTTTTTTTAAAGTTATGCAATGCATATTATTTTTAATACAATAAACCAAACACAACATAAGAAATAATCTTAGCATAACTAATGCAAGCATAACTAATACAAACATTACTAATACACCATAGATAGCACTATTCTTATACACCCTATCAAATGACCCTAATTGAAGTGTCAGTGATTAGTGCTCACAAATCTACCAGTGGTGAATCTTGATGTGTTCCTAAGAAAAGGAATGTCCATTTATCAGAGTCTCAAGGGGGTGAGGAAACACATAAGAACTCATGGAAAGCTCCAATAGAAAACTATTGAAAAGGAAAAATTCTTTGAAGATACACAAGACAGGCGCTTGCAAATGCAGGTACTCGATGTTTTAGAAAAAATGAAGAGGATCTCTTTATAACGGAAATGAAAAGATAACGGCAAATCAGCTCCATGTTAAAGTCTTATAGACAATCATAAATGTCCTTATTTTTCCTCTATTTTGCTCGGACCCTCCAAAAATAGTTGCACCCATGTTAGATCCTCCAAAAATGCATGGCTTTTGGAAGATCCGACACACACCTGACAACATTTTTGAAGAGTCCGAGCAACATAGTTATTCCTAATGAATGAATGGAATCAAGAATCAAGATAACCACATGCAGTTATAAAGTTCAAGCCTTCCTTGGCAATCACAGTCTTCTCCGATAAGAGCAAGAAAAAGCTCACCCCATAGTAGAAACTTCTTCTCACACAACATATAGATTCAGTTGAATAAGATGCAATGTAATTGTGACTTTATTCACTTATCACAAATAATTGACCTCATTCAATCTTTAACCATGAACCTGTGATGGGATTCTCTATTCCTGAAAGGCAACTATAGTCTAAAAACAGTTCAAAGACTCAAGTCAACTCAACATTCAATCATCTTTTTTCTAGTGCTAATTTGAAATAACACAGTTGTTAAAGAGTGAACTAATATAATTGCTAAGGGGCTAATATCAAAGAGATCATCAGAAACGTGACGACAACATAATAGTTGTTCATAACATATTTAATAGCCGTGGTGACCAAGCTAGCTTGTCCACATAGTTGTTCATAACTTTATAATGCTGCAGAGGACAAAAAGATGAATCTTCAAATTCATGAAGAGGTTAAATCCATAAACATGTTGATACCAATAGAGGGGACAAGTTCAAAGAACCCGTTGAAAAGTTGCTCAGTCAGCAAGAATTTCACCTGGACGCCTCCCAATTTTCATGCTAATAGAAGCCCCAAAAGGCCAAATTAAGACAGACCCAAAATCTATACAAGCTAAGTACCAAAAATAATTGAAAGATTGAAACATTAACAACAAAAAAAATCATCAGGGTACCTCAAGAAACAAGTTACATACAAGGGAAACCTTAGTAACTCAGTTAGTTGGCTACCTGAACTTTCATCTTATTGGTGAGGGTTCGATTCCCCACGTTGTAATCCTCTCCCCCACTTCTCATTACCCTACCCCCAATTTTCTAAAAAAGAAAGAAGCTAAATACCAAAAATTCTTATCAAAGTAACTCCCTTAACAAGAAAAAAATCATCAGAAACAAGCTAAATACCAAAAATCATCAGAAACAAGCTAAATACCAAAAATCTTATCAAAGTAGCTCCTTTCACAAAAAAATCATCTGGGTACCTCAAGAAACTAGCTAAACACAAACAATTGTTGCTTAGGTATCTTCTTTACCAGGCTAATATCAAAGAGATCATCAGAAACGTGACGACAACATAATAGTTGTTCATAACATATTTAATAGCCGTGGTGACCAAGCTAGCTTGTCCACATAGTTGTTCATAACTTTATAATGCTGCAGAGGACAAAAAGATGAATCTTCAAATTCATGAAGAGGTTAAATCCATAAACATGTTGATACCAATAGAGGGGACAAGTTCAAAGAACCCGTTGAAAAGTTGCTCAGTCAGCAAGAATTTCACCTGGACGCCTCCCAATTTTCATGCTAATAGAAGCCCCAAAAGGCCAAATTAAGACAGACCCAAAATCTATACAAGCTAAGTACCAAAAATAATTGAAAGATTGAAACATTAACAACAAAAAAAATCATCAGGGTACCTCAAGAAACAAGCTAAATACCAAAAACTCTTGTAAAGATAGTTCCTTTACCATGAATTTTCATCAGGGTACCTCAACAAACAAGCTAAATACCAAAAATTCTTATCAAAGTAGCTCCTTTAACAAAAGAATTTCATCAGGGTACCTCAAGAAACAAGCTAAATACCAAAAACTCTTGTAAACAGAGCTCCTTTACTATGAATTTTCATCAGGGTACCTCAACAAACAAGCAAAATACCAAAAAATCTTATAAAGATAGCTCCTTTACCATGAATTTTCATCAGGGTACCTCAAGAAACAAGCTAAATACCAAAAACTCTTGTAAACAGAGCTCCTTTACTATGAATTTTCATCAGGGTACCTCAACAAATAAGCAAAATACCAAAAAATCTTGTAAAGCTAGTTCCTTTACCATGAATTTCCATCAGGGTACCTCAAGAAACAAGCTAAATACCAAAAATTCTTGTAAAGCTAGCTCCTTTACCATGAATTTCCATCAGGGTACCTCAACAAGCAAGCAAAATACCAAAAAATCTTATAAAGATAGCTCCTTTACCATGAATTTCCATCAGGGTACCTCAAGAAACAAGCTAAATACCAAAATTTCTTGTAAAGGTACCTCCTTTACTATGAATTTTCATCAGGGTACCTCAACAAACAAGCTAAATACCAAAAATTCTTATCAAAGTAGCTCCTTTAACAAAAGAATTTCATCAGGGTACTTCAAGAAACAAGCTAAATACCAAAAACTCTTGTAAACAGAGCTCCTTTACTATGAATTTTCATCAGGGTACCTCAACAAACAAGCAAAATACCAAAAAATCTTATAAAGATAGCTCCTTTACCATGAATTTTCATCAGGGTACTTCAAGAAACAAGCTAAATACCAAAAATTCTTGTCAAGGTAGCTCATTTACCAGGAAATTTCATCAGGGTATTTCAAAAAAAGACATTAATCAAACAAATTAACAAAAGAAAAGCCAAAAGATTATGAAGACTCACCAGTGGAGCTTGAACTCTAAAACCCCTGTGTGCATTTGGAGACCTCTCAATTGTTTGGTCCATTTTTGAAATGAAAATTTCATACACAAAGATTCTGGTCAAATCCCAACAATTTCACCCCTCACAAGAATCAGATCAAGAAAACTAAAACCCAAAGAAGAACTTTGATATACCCTTTTTGCACTTTATACCCCCTTTCAAAATGCCAACAAAAAAAGACCAAAAAAAAAAAAGCAAAAATATTAGTGCTTGGAAGTTAGAACTACAGCAACTTCAAAACAGTGATAGGCATTTTTCTCTTTATAGACCAAAATTATAAACTGAAGATTACAGCTGGAATATAATCTTTTCACCTACTTGAAAACAAATTAAGAAAATCTTTATTATTATTGCAATAATTATTATTTTTCTGTAATCTGAGAAATTTAATTATTTTTTTCCTGTTTTTAGTCACAGGACAAGAAACTTAAGCAGAATTTTTAATGCTTATCATTAATTAATTGGGTCAAACTTAAAACTGTTGTCTATGTCCCCTGTGGTTATAAAATATATATATTGAAAATGTCAGCACTAGATTTATAGTAATAAAAATAAGATTTTGTTTAATATGAAATTAAAAAAAGGTACTATCTTTTTCATGTTGGGTAACTTGGGAAGATACAATTTGATCGCTCGATTAAAAATATTTATTGTCTCGATTAATATATACTAATTATATATTTATTATATATAATTATTAATACACAATTAAAATTTTGAGAGGATAGAGATTTTATCGTACAACATACACATAACTTATTCCTATTTTAAGAAGATAGAAAAATGATTTCTAATAGAACCTTGACTCAAAGAACGGTGAAAAAAGGCAGAAACAACAAGATGATAAGAGACTAAGGCTAAGGAAACAAGTAGAAATAGAAATCAAAAAATAATGAAAAAAAAGAGTACTAATTAGATTGTTGCAATTTCATAAACACATTAAAGATCAATAAACATATTCCATTATAGTTTTGTAATCTATTTCTTTATACATAGAATAAAGATTGGCTAACAACAGCTTATAGAAAATTAAAAAATTCCCTAATAAATAGTTGAGTGGTTGTAGTAAAAAATATTAAACAATTGAACTCTCTAGACTCTAATTTTTTTTTTAAAAATGAATTAGTGAAATACACAAGATTATTTCGAAGAAAAAAAAAGATTAGTGATTTTAACTCAGCTACATTAATGCGAACTATGTTTACTGAATTGTAGCAAATTACTCGTTAAATTAATCAAGATACACACAAACTAATTCAGAAGGACAGAGGTTTTTTTTTCCACTAAGCAAGATGTTTGTGTAATATAAATTTGATGTAAACTATAATGAACATAAAATAACTCTTGGAATTTACTAGGAAATGATGACTATCAATATTTTAAAATTTTAATAATAGATGTCTCATTACACTATAATTAAGAAATCATAGAATGGAGAGACTTTTTCTTTTCATGTTTATTATTCTATTTAATTTAATTTAAATGTGATATGACTCAAAATTTTAATATTCAAAACACTTGTTTTTGCACTGTCCCAATCAAAGAAAACCAAAAATAAATAATCAAGAAATAAATATTACAAGAAATTGTAGAAAAAGTCAAAGATTTATAATTTATTTTGTGGTATTGTGAATTGTTCTCCAATTTTAAACCAAGTAGCAACCTCATCTATTTGTAATTTCATTTACATATCACTATTAAAAAATTTGGAATTAATTAAGAAATTTATCGCTAAATAACCCATGGCTATTAATTTCTTTTAACAATTAGTCCTTAAATAAAATAAACAATGGTTTTTATTGTTAAGCAATAGAAGTTGTCCTAATTTTGTCTTTTTTTTTACATATATATAATTTAAGTCAAAGCGTACGAATATATGCACTACTCCTTCGTTACAATGATTGCAAAAATTTCATAGTATCGTGTAATATGTTTATATCGATTAACAAAATAATATAACGACTCTTGCATTCTTTAAGATATTCCCTACCTGGAGAAAGAAAGCATCTTCGACAGGACTAAAGAAAATATGTAAGAAATCGAGGGACCGATGATTTGAACCTATGATCGATTTGTACCTGACATGGTGGGTTAGGTAGTCGGATTAGCACCCCTTGTCGCCTAAATTAAACAATTTTCCTCAATACATTGTCAAATAAATTTTAAAGTTGATTTTTTGTTTTTCCTTGTTATTTTTTATTTTATTTTAATGATATCAAACTGTTAGTTGTTGTTAACCAATAACCATACAAAGAGTTCAAGTAAATGCAAAAATACAATAATTTGAAAAAGACTAGCCTTCACTTATAATTAATGCCTCTACCTAAATCACCAATAAAAATATCTCTTCACAACCAAGAAAAAAAAAACATCAAAGCTCCTTTATGGAGTGAATATTAAGGATTATAATGAGAATTTATTTATTTTCTATATTTAAAAAAATTAAGGAAAATGGTCTGAAAAATACTTTAACTTTGGCCGAAATTGCTGTTATGATACCAAACTTTATGATGACCTTTTACCCCTCTGCACTATTTAATAGTGTATTTTAAAGGTATATATGTGCCCACGTGGACACATTACTATTTATAATGATGCAATATTTATGATGTTCACATGGGTATTTAAAATACATTATTAAATAGTGCAGGGGGTAAAAGGTTATTTCCAAAGTTCGGTATTGTTACAGCAATTTCGGTCGAAATTCGGATATATTTCAGACCTTTTTCCCCAAAAATTAAAAGAAAATTGAAGGTATCTTTTATGGTGAATTTAATGTAGAGAATTTTGAAGTGATATTTGCTTCAATGTTTAATGTTTAGCTATCTTATTTGAGTATTTAATCTCATTTAATTTTAGGATTTTAATTGTTGTGAGCATATGTTATTTGTATAATTGATTTATCTTTTTTTTTTCTTTACGTTGGTAAGTTGTAAGAAGTTTATTTTTTCGCTGGCCTTAATCATATATAGCGAATTTAAATTCAAAGAATAAATAATTTATTAATAGAGAGCGTGAATCTTAATATTATATAGTATATTATCTACAATGATCGCGCTCCGATTCAATAGACTCGATAATTGCGCTCGAGCTCACTCATAAATAATGGGACATTAGTTCTTATGAGCGCAATACATAGAAATTCTGAAGCATTACCATACTAACACTTACACATCGTTTATATAATTAACAACAACCAATTCTATCGTGTTATATAATTAACAACAATAATATATTTAACGTAATAAAATGTATGCAAATTTTATTTTTGTGAGGTATAAAGATTGTTTCGGATAGATTCTGAATTATAGAAAAAAAGATAATAAAATAATAAAATACAAAGCAAATACAACAACAGATAGTAACATGTTATATAATTATATATATTTAAGCATATCATAACAATAAAGATGTGAGAGCACAACAATCAATAACCAATTCCTAAGCAAATACAACAACAGATAGTAACATGTTATATAATTATATATATTTAAGCATATCATAACAATAAAGATGTGAGAGCACAACAATCAATAACCAATTCCTAAGCAAATACAACAACAGATAGTAACATGTTATATAATTATATATATTTAAGCATATCATAACAATAAAGATGTGAGAGCACAACAATCAATAACCAATTCCTCATAAACATTAATTGATTGGTCAAATAAAGATGTATGGTAAGTTCAATTTCCATATAACAAATTATTGTGGGTCCTTTTTTTAATATTTAATCAATTATGCCGGCCATTTATAGTTTTCTATAACTATTTATTATATAGGTGAAGATTAATAATGAAGTTTGATTTTACTATGTTTATATTTATCAATATGCAATTATGATTTTTTTTTTATTGAGATCCCTTTTTCTTATTTTATTTATCATATGCTAATTATATAAAATTTAAAATAATAATCATAATTATATAAAAGTTGGTAATCATTTTATATCACTATTTACTAAAAATCACTTTTTTCATATAAATTAAGTTACTTTTGTGTAATTATGGTATGAAAAAAAATTCTAAAATAGACGAGGTTAGTCATGACGAATATAGTGAATTTTAGTCATTAAGCTGTTTTCGATAGACACACCAAATTTTTTGCCAAAGAAATGTGTAAATCAAATCCAGAAATACCAGTGTGTACTGATACATACAAAAAATGATTCACGAATTCAGATTTTATGAATTAAAAATGCCAAAAAAATAAAATACAATTATGTGTATTAAAAATACATTATCAAGTATAAATTTTTTCACCTAATTAATACACATTGGATATTATTTCATATATTTTAATAAAATTGTCATGCATAATTTTATAAATATTTGGTAGATTCTTACGTAACAGTTTTTATTAGAAAAACTTAATTTACAATAAACAAATTTAGCATGTGAAAAATAGTGGAGTAGCTAAGATTCTGAAGAGGAAAAAAATAAAAGAGAAAAATATAAAATTTATCTTAATATTATTGGCATGACATACAAAAATATTGCTCAATTTTTTTTCCGCATCCGGTGTTCAGTATCTGTTTTAAAATACCGATTAATAAGGACTCGCAACACGTAAGTTCCCTTAAATGGAGAAGAGCTCCTTATTAAAATTATTTTATTTTCGAAACGCAAACGCGAGATTATTAATTAAGAATGGAGGAATTCTATCCAATCCGTCAAACACTACTATAAGTCTAAACACGAGTATATGCAAAATACAATTGTCCACACCAAACAATTACTTGCCATTTTGTCTGATTTGTAAAGGTCAAACAATTCCATCTAAAAACCTACAAATTCCTAAAAATCACCTCTCAAATTTTACTATTATAAATATTATTATGTGACATATAATTTCATTTTCTAAGAGTCATTTTCACAAGTTTTGGTTCAAAAAAATAAATTTTATAGCACACACAAATTCAAAAATTCAAATATTATCAAACCAATAAATATCAAAGTTGAATAGAATTTGGCTTTTAGAAAGGTACTTATTAGATAATGCGAGCAAAAATAATAACAAATAATAATGATTTTAAAAAAAAAAAAAGTATAAGAGGTGTGGCAAGGAAAAAAGTCAAATCAATTAGACTCGACAATCAGAAAAAACATTTGAATTTGACTTAAAAAGAAGCAACACTATGAAAATCATAACTTGATCACCATTGATAAATGAAAATATTTTCAAATTACTTCATGTTTGCATGACCTTTTGATATCTAACGTACGTTGAAATTGAAATAATACAACGTTTTTGATAGAAAATAAT